TGTTCCAGGCAGTAATTTTCCTGAAAATGCAAGAGATTATTTGTTCCAGTGCATTAAATAATGTGTTAAATGTTTAAACAAACATTAAATTCAATGCTAAGTTCACTTGTCTGGTGGTGTATGGTACTTACCTGTTGATACTTGCCTTTTTAAATTTTTTTTAACCAGACAAACCTAAAGTGGCTTTGAGGCCTGGCTTACAAATGAAATGACCCGTAATGAAACTGGCAATTCAGACCAACTTATTCATTCTTAGGTCACGCATCATCCATTACTACCTGCTATGAAAAGAGGCCAGACTCCGTTCCCAGTATTGTAAAGGGAGAACACCAGATTTATCACTTTCAGCTACTTAAAAAGCAGTCATCTCCTCATGGAAAGTAAGTTTTATTCACTTCTGTCATATGCAATGATTTAACTGAGTTTTTAGGAAAGACATTCAGCCTCTCCTAATGATGCTGTATACCATTAAATAGCATAAATGAAAATAGTTTGTTGCAGGTTCTGTTAATGTATTAAAAAAAAAAATCATTAGTACACCATTTTTGTGACTTAAACAGTTTAATGAATATATAAACAAAGCACATATAAAGCAAAAGATTAAAACAAAATTGTTGTTACAACCACCATAAGCTATAACAAAAAAATTTTACAAGTCTATGACTTACACAGGTTTGTTTGTTTGTTTGTTTGTTTTTTTACAAAAATCATCAAAGCAATATCATTCCCTGAAAACTAAGACTCAGAAATCAAAGATCACAGTTAAGTATTTCCTTTAAGCACGTCATCTACTAGTCAAACTAGCACTGATTTAACTACTTTTCAAACTCTTCATGGTGCTGAATGTATTATATATTAAAGCTTGGACAAAAGCCACGAATAAAGTTCAGGCCCCAGAAGAAAAATAATGCATGAATAGTCTGACAAATATATAGATCCATGGCATTATTTAACAGTGGTTTCTACACTTTTTTGGTTGTGCATGTTTATCACAAACTTGTTTGTGGATCCCTATGACCGCATTTGCACAGACCGCTTTCCAGGTAGGCTTTGGGACTGTTACTTCCAAAATGCTGACCCTAAATCACAGTTCTGCTCAATTTGAGCAGGGCTTAGTGCAGTACTCCAGGTACCGAGTATCTGCAGGAAAGGGAATTCCCTGCATCCACCTTCTGTATTCCTTGCACCCAAATACCTTGTATATTGGGAAAGAAATACTGGAGCAAGGCTTCATACAGGCAACACGTGAGAACATTACATGTTCACATACAAACCTGAAGCAAAAAAGAGAAGTGCCTTCACTAATATAGACTTTAGTCTTTCAGTAAGTCAGGCCTTGGCCTATTACTTACTGTCATTCACAATAGTCTGGTCTGTTGGATTTGTCACATAAATGTAGTTTAAGTTTAGTAAGTTAATGCCTAATGTTAAATCAGGACATAAAAATTCTTGTTTTACAATCCAAACTTTACTAGGGAAAAAAAAAACCATAAACAATGGAATTGCAGAAGCATAAACAACTAATTTAGTTGCAGGCCTTCCCAAAAAGGAAACAAAATAGCACTTAGTACATACGGAAGTTGAATACAGACTGGTAGCTAGGAGGCATAGAGATAGGATCATTTTAGCATAAGCTTGTTTATACTCTTTACAAATGTGTGGATAAATACTCCATAAAGATTAGAGCAGAAATAATTTGTAATTATGCTACTGTGTTGCATTAGGAATGCTTTTTAAAATGTCTGCACTGCAGTGTCTTTTTTGTCCCCCTTTTAAATCTTTTTTAATACAATTGAAACTAAGCTATGTACAACAATAGTATTGTCTGGAATAGTCTACCTTAAAAAAAAAATCTTACAAGTACAAAACTCAAGCCGCTTTTGATTGTGTTTCAGTTAGTTATCAACTTTTGATGGGGCAGGGGTGGAGGGGACAATGGCAAATGCATTTGCTGCCCCTTAGAGGAGAGAACTGTACGATCCAGTGCTTCCATTTTTATTAACTCCTGCGGGCCTCCCACGTGTGCTTAATTTCACTTTGAGATCCCAAGATAAGGGAGAACCTGCTCCATGGGAGAAAAGGAGGCCACACCACAGTTATTTCTTTGTTCCTATCCCACCTTTCCTTACACAATAGTGAATATTATCCATTCATGTACTTTTCAGCCATGCCTGTAAGATGAAAATGCCTCCACACAGAATTTATAATGTGTTTTGTTTGAATGTCAACCCTATACGCGTACAAAGAGCAAGTGTTGCCTCTGCATTCCTGTGCTTGTTGGTGTGGGTAGGTCCGCTACGTGCTCCTACTGGGCCATGGGGTGGCTGAGAGAGGAAAACACTGCAAGAAAGGCAGCTGCAGTGTTGCTTTTAAAATGCCTCAAGACTTAACCACAAACAAGTGCAAACACCCAAACAAGACAGCCCCAGGAATTTTCCTATGTCAACTTTCTGAAATTTATTCTTTAAGGTGCTTTTAAATGGTATTTTATTTACCAAAGACCTGTTTACTTAGTGGAGTTTGGAAAACTGCCAAGGGACTTTATTCTTTTTCAGCTATTCCGTGCATACCTTCTGCATGTTCTCTTTCTCTGACACTCTACAAAATTTAGCAAACGACAACTCTTTAGGTTTTAAGTACAAATAAGACTATAAGCCATTTAGACTTCCTCTTTACACACATGTATAAATAAATGACACCACAAACCGCCCTTGATACAAGAAACCAAAAGGCATTGATTTAAAGGCTAAAATAAATAGTAGTTGAAATAACTGTCTGGCACTTGCTCAGTATTTTCAACACTGAAACTCTCCTACAGTAGGATCCCAGGATTGATTGTGTGTGCGCGCGTGTGTGTGTGTGTGTGCGTGCGTCAACTTTATTGTTGCAGGAAACAGCAATAGCGATGCTTTGGCACTCAGTGCCAATGTGACTGAGTTCTGCCAAGATAACAAAACAACAAAACTTCTCTGTGCTTCCAACTGAAATCTGCAAGTCAGGACTTTGTAACATTAAAAGTACTTCTAAAAAAAATTACTTTTGCCAAGTAAACAATGCTAGAATTGTCCATAATTCTGTACTGTTTTGCAGATATGTAAGTGCATGTCTCAAAATAACAGTTTGCTGAAGAGCAACAGAGATGAGACAGCCATGTACTAGAGGACAGAAATACCATCTATGTAGAGATCTGCAGAGAAATCAGAGATCATGTTCACACCAAAGGATGAAATACAGAAATGTGTACAACTTGCAACCATTTTTAGTCAGCCTACTAAAATGTGGTTTTTTGTTTTGTTTGTTATTGCTAAGCAAGAATGTACATACCTCTATATATTCTGTATGCAGACTCTGTATTTTTGGTATCATTTCATTTCCTTGGTGTATATTTTTTTGTTGAGGAACACAGTATATGAATAGAATAGCAAGAGTTGAGCTAGCCAACAAGGTTCCCAATTACACCAGTGTTAGGAACAGTCTGTGATATTTGCAACAACAGTAAGAAAGAAAAGCATTCTTTATTCTCAAAGCAACTACTTGTTGCATGTTTTAGCTACTATATGAACATTACATACTTACAGCAACATCTGTGTAACTGCTCAAGGTTTGTAATGAGCCCTGCTGTCCCCAGTTTGTGAATGGGAGAAACGGAGATTAAATATATAGCTTTCTTATTATTGGATAACAAGTGTGAGAAACATCTACCGTTCTGGTTTGAAGGTTCTAGAGTATTTTTCATCCCGTGCTCTATGCGTTACAACCACCCTTTGGGGGCAGGGCTCCAGGGCATGCTGTGTTTCCAAGCGCAGAGCTGTGAGGTACAGCAACAGCCTGCAAATGTCAGCTGAGTGCAAGTCAAATAGCTTTAAACCACAGTCGTGGCACAATGTTCCAATGCAACACAAGGAGATCGCTCATTTGGGAAGCCTACAAGTACTAACCCATCCCCAGAAGCACCACAGGTTAGAACTGTTGAGCAGATAGCAAACCTTGTCACAGATCATTGAAAAATTTGAGCCCAACCAGCAAGAACGAGCATTGCTTTTTTTGTAACACACAAAATTCGAGCAACTACATCAAACAACGCATTTAGATAAAACAAAGTTTTTACAGCCCTACAGGGGTAGTTTCATTCAAGTGCTTACGTAGCATGTGAACACACAAACACAAGACTCTACTTATCATTTATATGGCAAAGGCTGCAAAGAACATCTTAAATTTTGCTGCTCAAAAGTGAACATGTTATCTGCATCCTTATCAAAGGATGCAAGTTAATCCTGGAACAGGAAAGAACACAAGTATCTTTTCACTGACACTTTTTTTTTTTTAAATTCATAATGAGGTGTTTTGCTACTCAATTTCTAATATGAAATGTTTTGAAATAAGCCTTCATTTCCCACCATGATAAAGCAGCTGGGCTACCTTGTATACCTGGATTTCAGGATTATATTTGCTAATCCATCCCCTTTGCAGTGCTATCAACTGATCTTAAAACATCCTCTTGTGCAAGCAGCCTGAGAATACAGAATCTGGCCATAGCTCTTTTTAGTTGTCTAACATCAGCTTCCAAGTCTGTTCCTCAGTGCCAAACTAGCTAGAGATTGTCTTGCGTTTAGTGCTTTCGTTCAGTTCAGTTTCGCAAATGTTTAAAAAACAACACACAAAAGCAGACTGAAGTTTCTCTAAATGGCACAGCATACAAATGCATGTAATGCACCTCATTAGATGTTCATTAAAAATACCTATCAATCAGTAACGTTTCTAGAGCCACCTGAATTCCTTGTTAATACCCAGAAATAGCTCCTCATGTTTCCCAGATCTATGCTTTTTTGTTGTTTTCAGATTAAAGCCAAATGTTAAGTTACGCAACTGCGAGTACCCTCCTGCTGGCTAAGTCAACTCTTGCATTAGAGTAGTTAAACCTTCCTTTTAGTCCCACCCTTCCTTTTTAATTGTACTTTATTTTGCTGTAGCTGTGCAGTTCTCTATTCCTCAGAGCTCACCTTGCCCGAGCCCCTCCGGGGAACGTGTCTTTCGCCTCCAAAGAATCTGCCCAGCGAGTCAAGTAGACCCGAGTCTCTGTGCCTTGGTGATCCATGCCTAGCGTGGTCTGTAGTGCTCGCAGAGGCCATTTTTGATCCGTGCCGGAAAGAGGAGCGCTTTTGTGAAGCCATCAAATCCGAGTTCTCTGAAGCTGCTGCACTGTCCTCTTGGATGGTCTGTAGCTCGTCTGACTCAGAGGGCCGATCTTTGAAGGTGTTGTCCTCTCTCCCTGGGGCATCTCGGGAAAAGAGGCGGATCAAGTGGGGGCGACCGGTCGTGTCAGCTGGGTTGGCCTCCCGCCAGGCATTCTTCGGGTCTGCTGTGCCTTTGGGGTCTGTCACCGCTGGGCTCGTCGTGGAGGTCCCATTGTTCTGGTTCACATCTGCCTCTCCTGCAAACAACAAGGATGAGATATGAATACAGGCCTGTGACAAACAGAGCCACGCAACAATGCTGCTTTCTCTCCCTTGCCTCGAGTTAGTCATTTCATACAAAACCCGTAATATGCGCGGCTGTAATGAAACTATGTTCTCGTCCCTGACAGCCTTTAAGAACATTAAGCTATCTTGGGACTGAAACGACGATGATGTTCACACAAAAAAGTTTGCTGTAGTTCTAGGTGTTTTTTTTTAAATTGGAAATATTTGTAAATAGATTAATACAGTTTATTAGAAGGTCAGTTGAGATATATTTTATTTATGTGGAAGGCTTCCCGATGATAAGGCTTTCAGTTACAACGTGTGGACAACCAATATTCCAGTACTTTCCCTTGAAAAGGGGAACTCTTAACTATTTTTTTTTTCTTCCTCAAAACAGGAAGAAGAAAAAAAAAAGCAATGTTGAAGGACGGCCCTCTTCCAACAGCATGTTTTCTCTCCGTTACACTGGAGCTTTTGTACCTGAGTGTTTTGTCCCAGTTTGGAATTTTTCATTCTAACTTGAACCTACAATCAAAAAAGGTTTAATGAGGTGGGTTTTTTGTTTTTTAAAAAACTACTTTAATTGTCTTCACATAAAAATGAAGTGGAGAACAATAACTGAAATCTCTGCCTGGCCTGACACAAAAGTTTTCCTCATGGATGATTTCAGAATTCTGCATACAATGCCCTACTGCGGATCCTGAAGGCCCACTGCAAAACTGTCCAATTTATCATGTAGTACTTATGTGAAGGGAAAAAAAATTCTCAGAAACAGATGAGCGCTCTGTCAAGAAAGGCACCACCACAGACCTTGTTGGTGTGAGTGAAATGTTGGCTGGCTTTTCAATATTTGTGTTCTAACGTTCTCAATAAAATACCTGGGGGAAAAAAAGACAGCGTATTTAACCCTAAACATCTGCTTTAAGCAGTAGTTAACTCCCTCTACCCTTATGAGCAACTCCAAAGGAAACAGTACCCCCCCCAAAGGAATACCACAAGTACCTCCAAGGAACACCACAAAAATACTCAGTAGTCTCGTGCTTGAAAAGTAAGCGATTAGACACCTCTCACACTCACCCATGTCAGACAAGATAAAGTTTTTTAGAGTTAACAGGGCTTGATGTTACAGAGATAAGTTAGTCAGCCATATGTTACCTGCAGTGTCTTCTGAATACCTCATTCAATCCCAATTTGATTTGGTCCTTGTTGCCACGAGAGGGTAGGACCTGGTAAATACAGTTAGGTTTTCAAAGTGCTCAGGGCTCAAGCACTTTGCTGATTCATCAGAGCAGTTTCAGACTTTATGGCAGTCATTTTGTATTGCTTTTCCCACCTGCACACCATAAAGAAATCTTTTCTCATTTAGGCTCAAGAATTATTCTTAAATAATTTTACGGATAGCCACACAAGACGATAATGATGGTTTCTGCAGATATATACCTAGTGTTTGTCAGGTTACAATTTGTTGTAGTCAGTCAATCAGCTACAGTTCTGCACAGCTTTTCATATACAAAGATAACACGCAATTCAATTGTGCAACTTTAAACACTACCTCAATGATGTTGGGGAACTTCAAGAAAATTCTCTTTCGTTAACAAGTCTGAATATATTTTTCAGGAATACAATTCTATTTAACCACTGCTAATTGTCACTTAAGGCCACATCAGTTGGGAAAATGAAAGTATTTGCTAACAAATTTAGAATTTTTGGTTTTCCTGGTGAGAGAAAAATTGAAGGGGAGGGGGGGAACTGCTTTCAAATTTACTAGAAACTATTAAATCCCCCAAAGAGTTTTCTTGTTAGAATGAAATAGAAAGTAACATCGATATATAGCACTTTCTGAAACTGCAAAACATATTAAACAGCAGCTATGAGCCTAGATTCTATACCATAATAGAAATTCATTCAAGGGGGGAGGGAGGAGAGAGGGAGGGAGGGGGAGAGAGAGAGAGAGAGAGAGAGAGAGAGAGAGAGAACAAAACAAAAGAGCTATTGTATTTAATTAAATGCATTAACAAAACACCAGAGCATCTGCATACTAATATTTTTTACAACAGTTGAGCTTTGTGTCACTGAATACAGTTATTTGTAAGCAACAAAGAAGGGTATTTGTGCCACAAAAGTAGCTTCTCCCAGTGCATACGCAGTGAGCTATAAAGTATAAATCTTTTGTGTATGCTCTCTTTTAGTAATGAAAGCATGCATTTAACTTTTCCTCTAGATTTTCTGCACTAAGACTTCTCTAGCATTTAAAAACGTATAGTAGAGAAACATTGTTCATATTTGAGCTAACTAATCAGTCTTCATGTGCATTTTGAGAAACAGGTGATTTTAATAATGCCTTAAGAATACCCAGAATAGGTCGTGTAAACACGTTTGTTCATTTAAAAACCAATATTTTGATTTCTTACACTGAAGGAATAGCCTGTTATGAGTACAATGCCTACGACACTGATTTCCCTTCTTTATTTCTCCTTGCTAGATGAAGCTTTGCTTTGAAAAGGTTACATAGCACTTAACCAGAAGAGTTACCCTTCCTGCAGTGCGTCAATTGTTGCCCAGGAAGGAAGAGGGCTTCAGGCACTTTTTTAAATCCTCTTGTAAAATGGGTTAATTTTAAGTATAAGCAGATGGCATTGCCATAGCCTTTATCAGAAGGGTGTTACAGTGCATACTTGTCTGTTTACAGTTAAGTGAATAAAGTCACTGAAAGCTGTGCAAGGGAGCCACACGCCAGCCAGGGGTTTGGCACTTCCCAGGAGCAGCCTCCAAGCGCAAGGAGCACTCCCGGGGGCAATGCCACCTTCCCACTCGCCCTCGCGCAACGCAGATCTCGAGCCTGCTGCTGGCGCAGATTTCCCTGCACACGTCGGTCACCGAGTGAACGAGCCATTTGTTCCCTGCATCCACAGTGACTCCCAAAAAGAAGGAATAAAGACAGACCAAAACGTCTGACCAGTTTGTTAATGAGACAAAATTTATGGATGGAAATCGTAAAAGTGGTTTTAATCAAGCCGGATTAAACCTAACCCCTGTTACCCTTAAGAGAGGTTAGGCCACATCAATATACTTTTCAAAACCCATTTGTCTTAATGCTTGGTATGACATTAATCGTTTATTTTGCTTCTCAAGGAATAGGGTACAGCTCTTTATATAAACCTCAAATTAGCCAGGACCATGTGGTTCAAACTTTTAACTCCTGTCAAGATTCATGGAGCTCTGTTTTATACAAAGCACTATCTGTGACAGATTCCTTGGAAAAAAATGATGTTGCCTTTTGGGTCACTTGGTAGACCTGCTCTACGATTTTCCCTCCTTGTGCATATACAAGTCTGTAGTCGCCTTCCATACAGCTCAACCACCTCCTTCCAGGTTGTCTGCTAAGTGCGCTAACATTTTAAGTAAAAAAAAATCTGGCGGGTTTTAGATGTGGGATAATTTTTTAATTATTATTATTTTTTTTAATTTTGTCTCCACCCCTTTCTAGTCTTGCTTTCTTGCAGCTACTTGTAATTCCTCTACACCAAAGCTCCCATTCTTATTGCTGCTTCCTCTACAAATGCTCTGAAATAAATGAGGAAAACACAGCTGATAAAACCTAAAGCATTTTCCCTTACTTTGGATTCTCAAGAGAAACTTAGATAGCATACTGGAAATATTGACTGTCATGATATATGGTAACAGCTTAAATATTTGCATGAAATGCAAATGATTAAATACTATTTCCTAGTTATAAACACTAGAAGTAGGTTAACTAAATTTTTAAGACTACAAATATTTTAATACACTGTATAGTAACTATAGGTGACTGTTAATGATTAATAATTTCCTTTTTGTTGTCCCTTTTTTATCAGCATATGAACATGAAAAAAATTGTCTCATTTTAGGGACCTTTTCGATCAACTTTTTATTTTTATTTTCTAAGTGTATTGATATAACGTGATTTTCTTCAGTGTATGAAATAGACAGGTATTTATCCCGTACTATTTAACACGATGAATTTCTTTTGTCCTATCCCTCCTATAATGAGACAACTGGGTAGTCAAATATAACGCAGTACAAGTCTCATAATTCTGGTGCAGCTGAATTTCAGTATGTTGCTGAAATGCTGACACTAAAACAGTATTAAAGTAAAACATCTGGGATTTTGCAATGACTTACCTGTATTTAGTCATCAGAACAGCAGAAGATTAGACTTTACACCTAAAAATTGCACACCTTTGTAACACCCAAGATTTCAATATCTTCACTAAGCTGTAGTAGTAAGCTGTATGTGCAGAGTCATAGTAATAGTCTGCCTTGTATTACTTTGAGAGGCTGAAAAAAATACTATTCTGGAAAATGTGGCTTTTAGGAACATTCCTGGTACTATCAAGACGTTTGGAAAGAATGAAAGGATAGAAAAAGCAGGTCCGTGATCACTACATGTGGGCTGCAGTTGAGGGTCACTGGATTCAAACTGTATTAAGATAATAGTGTTTCTCAACATTTTGACTTTTCTTCTTAGATAGTTTTTTAGAAGAAGGAACTTAAGGAATTACTTAGCAGTAAGTGTAGCATGAAGCACCACAGGGGGCCCTAATTCAATTGTGGTTTTAGATACTATCATGAATTTGCATAATTTCATTTTTTCCTCCAATATCACACACACCTCTTCACACGCTAAAGTTCTTGAGTAGCTGAGACAACGGAGCTTTGTGCATGCACATAAATGAGGAGTTTGAACACAAAGCAATAATTACATACAGTGATATACTATGAAAGTCAGGATCAAATAAAAACCAGGCCAATTCAATCTTTAATTTCCTTGGAAATAGGATTCAACTATCTGCTGCTCAGCAGCATCAAGTGTCCAAGGGCAAGCGTAGCAATGACTTTATACTGTGCACTGGTACAAGTCATCTGTCAGAAAATAACAAGGTCAGTAGTGGCTTCTAGGCAGAGCTCTCCTCCTGAAGACAGTGCAGAGGGGCGCTGCCCCAGCCAATGCCTCAGTGTGCAGAGGGAGCACCCACCATCCAGCTAAGAGGTGTGGAGAAAAGGGGATAGAGAAGAGGTGCAGACCAGTACCTGGTGCAGCATCAGGTTGAGCCAGTAAGGCTGCAGATCCCTTGGTCACTTTCTGAGTAGTTTAAGCAAATACAGGAGTTACCGATCAAAATCCTTGAGAAGGTTTTACTTCCTCCCATGAGTACCAATGAAAGGACTAGGTACAATCTAGCTCTGAGTTTTGGACTTTGGACTCACAGCAGAACAGGAGCATCTGTAGCATTTACGCTTCACTAAATAAATATTTGGGCAGAGGGAGAAAAGAATTATGTTTGCGTTGTTAAATTTAAGCTACAAAATTGGATTTATCATCCTCATTATACTAACATACTATAGACAAAAACTGGCTCTCAGCCTAACTTCATTAATACGGTTAGAAGGCAATACGCCATCAGATATTTTACTTCACAGATCTAATTACTGGTTTTGTCTGATGGCTGTCAAATTGTAGAAAAAAAATATTTCTGTTTGGAATAGTTTGCATGCAGAATATTTATGAAACAAACAGTTGATCATAGCTCTCTGCCAATAACTAGAACTGATCTGTTGGTGTGTTTAGCCATTACTCAAATTATTTCCCTATTTCCTAGCCAAATGAATGCAGAGGAAAATGCCAGTATGCTTCATTATACAACTTCACATGAGTGTAACTCTCCTGTTGTTAGTCAAGAGACCACTTCCATTACAGCCATCTTGCCCACCTCCACCCCTGCCAAAGCTCCTGAGAAAAAAATTCCATCTAAAGGTAAAATTTAAGAATAAAATTAAGTTAAAAACATTTGAAATATTCAGCGTAAGGACAGAATAAAATGGCTCAAGTCCTTTATAATTCAAGAATTGTTTTCCTTTTAAAACTTTTGATAGCAATGCCTGTGCTGTTTTTAACATGTAGTACTTGTGAATAATGTTTGCAAAGTACTTTTAAAGACCCATATCTTACAATAAGCTGAATGTATCTTGAATTCTATGTGCAGCCAGTATATTTTAATAGGATATCCTAAGTCTTACATTATTTCCAAAATAAGTTTAGTTGGCTATAGAAAGTATCATGATAGCTGGTTGCATCAGGCCCTCAAGTAAAGACCTTTCTATAGTTTCAGTGTAGCTTTGTAGCACCAGAGGAATGCTTGCCTGCACAGGAGACTTAGCTTTTCCTATGGGCTGGTCAACTTGTAGA